GTTATTAATGAAACACCGTCTGGGAAATTGGAAAAAAAACAGAACGAGTTATTAATAAAAACATCGTCTGGGAAAATAGTATGTCAGTCATAAGACCAACACTACGAATTTTTTCCAGCAAAGCTGTAGGAAAAACACAGAACATTCTATGATGTCTAGCAAACCTATAAAATAAATTGTACCAAATCAAGTATGAACTTGATGGAAAAGGGAAAAAGGGGACACCTAAAGGTGTAAAAGTACCTACAGATCGAGGAAAGTCGACTGGGAAAAAGTAAAACGGGAAAGTCCGTCTAAAAGTCACGTCCGTGTAATAGTTCTTAAGACTACAGACTAAACACAAACACCTAAACAAACTTTACAAAATAGTAAATTAAATAGTAATCCCTAAACTTCAACTATTTCTATAAACGAAATAAATATTATTACGTTATTAGTAGACTATTGTGGAAGAACAACAGAAGCTAATAAGGAATAAACGTGGAAACAAGGAACTCTAATCCATTAAACTAGTTAATGAATAAAGACCAGAAATAAAGTATTAAGGATCTCCGAAAGTTTATAAGTCTTTAATAATAAAACGTACAAGACTTGGAAATTTAAAACAAAAGGTTATCTATATAAAATCCTCAAAAATATGAGATATTATAAAAATAAGAAGATCCAAAATAAACTAAGATAAGATCCTATGATGCTAGAAGCAAAATCAAATTCTTCAAAAAAGAGTGAAAACATCTAATTGCCAGATAGAATATTATTAAATTAATTTAATTACCAAAAACATGCCTAATGAAGTGATACCAATTTAATTTTTTTAAAACTGAGATTCTATTTCTTCGTTTCAGGAACACTCATACATCACCATTCAATATATCCGCAACCTTTTATTCATCCCTCATTCCTCACCTTGCAAGCGGATCGTTTCCAAAACGCAAGTGAAAAGAACCAAAGTGAAATTTAGAAAGTGAAAACCGTAAATGTCAACTATCAAAATGAACAAAATGCCTAATTATTTAAGTTATATTTTCAAAATATCTTTAATGTGGTATCTACCAGTACTATTTTTATCAAAATCTTTTAATAAATAAACATTATTTGAAATTTTGTCAATTATTTTGCACTTAACAAATTTAGGTGCTAACTTTGAAGAAAAGAAATGAATTGCGTTGGATTGTACAAAGTTTCTCCTCCATACAATATCTCCAACGTCATAGGAAATGACTTTTCGATTCGAATTATAAAATTTAGCATTCTTTTTATAAGATTTTGCTAAATTATCAACAACTTTAATAAAAATATCTTTAAGTGAATCTAACAAATTACCATAACCGTCAGGTTTCTCAATATTAATATCAAACAAGTCATCTATAGAAGAATATCTATGCAAGGACCCATTCAACACGACTTCACGACCGAACATAAGAAAGTTTGGAGTAAAACCAGTAACTAAATTAACAGTACTATTAATAGCACTTTGAACATGGGGAATAAACTTAGACCATGTTCTATGATCATTTGCAACATAACATGAAATACAGGTTTCTATTGTCTTATTGTCTGAAGTTCCTGCCATGATTTTATCAGTTTGACACTCCTTATCCGTCATAGTGTAAGATTCTTATAAGACTTAAGTTATTTTCTCTATTCCACAGAAAAATATTAAACTATATTGTAAGTTTAACAAAAACTACCAAGTCGTAATGTTTTCCAATAAATTTAAGTTGTTTTTATAAAGCTAACATTAATTTAAGGTTAAATTCCAATAATTTTATCAATTATTCAATAAAAATAAGAATTACCAAGAACTAATTCTTGTAAACAAACACTTTATGCAATAAAAGTTATCTCATATCATTGTATACTAAGATTTGCAATGAAAGTTTAAGTGGAAATTTATTGACAAATTGAAAAGTTAAATGCAATGTTTATGGAAACTTACAGTTAAATTAAACAATAACAGTTATTCAGGAATATGAATTAACCAGTATAATATCAGAATTAACCTGACACTATATCAAAACATTTGAACTTCAATGTACAAAACTTAAGTTTGACATGTAATAAAACTTGTTAAGTATTGTTGTTGTAAAAAAAAATTAGTTTTGCATTATCAATTGCATAGAAAACTGATTAATAGACACTGTGCATAAGTGATTAACAACAGGATTAAACAATTAAACTATTTTCAGTAAACACTTAGTAATAAACACATGTACTTACTTGAACTTATATTAAGTTTACACAATTCTGTAAATGATAGGTTAACACAAGTAAATTATGCATGAAACAATATTTATTTCTTGCTGAAAGCTGAAATGCACATTAAATAACAAAACAACAATATTATGCAATGACTATTTGCAAATAATTTGTCAAATCTCAAAATATGGTCAAAGAAAGTTGTGTGAACGGTTATTAGCATCACATTTTCTTCTCAGAATCTATTTATTCTAAAATATATTATGTACTAATTACATAATAGCAAACTAGTTTATAATGAAAGTAAAATATGGCTATAAGCTTGCCAAAACAAAGCTTTGAAGCAAAAATGGAAAAAGTTACTCGATGAATGTTATGTGATAATAACATTCAGTTCAAAAGTGAAAAATTAATGAATTTATGTTAAGCAAAATGTGAAAGTTATGATGGATATAGCAAAATAACTATATTTCACTTACAAAGTTACAAAATATCCTAGTCAAAATCCTGTCCCTATGTGAGAGGCGACATTGTAAGGTAAAAAAATTAAAAAAATTACTGTGTAACTATTTATCTAGTTAGTTATTTCAAAAAAGAAAGAAAAAGGCTGGAGGTGGTGGCCGGTTAATGGTAGCCGATTTTAGCTTCTCAGCTTCCATTTAAAGTGAGAGTTGTAACGGGCGCCGGGAAGCTGGTGACATCTCCAGGTGTCCGGAATAACTTACGGGAACATCAGCTTTTAATCTCAAAGGCAGTTTTGACTAGGGTTGAATGATAAAGGTGTTTTCCTCTTCAATTGTTTATTGTGAAAGTGTACATACCAGATTGGATTCCAGGCGTCAAAGTACATTAAGTATTGGATTTACTTAGACTATTATGGCTGGTCCATGGTCAAAGATATCAAAATGATATTTATAAAGATATCATTAAAATTAAAGATGAAGCTAAAGAAATTAAGGATTATAAAGACCACTTAAAGAGCTGAAACAAAAGAGACATTTGTGAGACCAGGCAACATGGCTAGATATATGTATGACAATTTTAATCTTAATTCTTACCTGCAATCGCAGCTCTTTTAAAGTTTTACTAATGGGCCATTGGCACCAATATTAGTTTGCAAAAATGCGATGAGCGCATTTTTGGAAAAAGAAACCGAACTATAAATTATTATTATATTTCACATTTTTAAAAAGTGACTGGTCGTGTCTGCAAAGAATCGAAAAGTAATGTTGCCAGGTCGCATTTCCAAAAACGCCGCGAGTCACAGTGTTGGCGCATTAAAATTTAAATTTGGGCATGGACTAACCATAAATTACAAAAGTTTACTTAAATTTAGAATGACAATTATTACGTATTTATTTTAATGTTTTATAAAATTAAGACAATTTTTAAAGATGTGTTTCTTTTATTAAAAAAATAGGGAAAATCCTTAAGTGACGGATGTCAAACCATATATTGGTGTCGATTCTAGCATGATTCTCTAAATCTAAACTTAAATTTGACAGCAGTATATCCTTGTCATTCTCTATACAGAATGAAAAGGAGAGACTGATGTTAAATTTAGTTTTAAGTTTAGAGAATCACGCCAGAATTGGCACCAGTATTTATCTATGTATGTGACGGCGTAGATACGACGTTACAATAGCTCAAAACACGTTTGTAAACATTACTGTTCTATTTTATTATGGCTTTAAAGTTTTTGCAGGGGACTGCATGGAAATTTTGAGGACGAAGTTTACAGGACTGTACTAAATAAATATGTAATGAAACAATTATTTTCCTTTAAGATATTAAACTGCCAAATGTATGTAGTTTCAATAACTTCTTCCTAAATCTCACAACTAGGTGGGAATACAGTGATGGGGACAGCTAGGGGGCTGTATTTTTAAAGCTTCTATTACGTCTAGAAAAATCTTAATATTTTCGGTTCTAAATATAGTGGGACTGTAATGTTACAGGGTTAATGCTTCATTAGGTGTAACTTTTTTCAATATAATTACAATACTTTTTGAAGTCAGTTCGTACAGCCGATTACGAGCTTACAGAGAATTGCCCTATCATCGAGATAGGGCAAAGTCGATTTTTCCCTCTAATTGGAATACCATTTGGTAAGTAGTAAGGTGGAAGATACAGCCATCTCAAACCTAGGACGACCACAGTAAGATCACTCTACCATTTGGCAGTGTTGCTCTTCTGTTAGATTTCATGGCTCCACAAGATTGGTAATTCGGTTTAGGCCAGGCAAACAAAGATGCCATATATAGCACACTTTTCTAGACTCCGCTTATCCTCATAACATCAGGTATAACTTATTTGTTGCCCCTATCAATTACATACATATATCAATATATCAATTACATTGTAAAAAATGGAAAAAAACATAACTTTATTCTGTAAATAAAAACAAATTTATACTAATAAATTTTGAAGTATTTAAATTTTAAGATCATATACATTTAAAAAGCCACATGAATGTAAGCTGTTCACTGATATTGTAACAAGAAATATAAACTGCTTAGCAATCATGAAGCTGCAAAAAATGTATAAAAATGAATTTACCAGATTCATTTTAGTATACCTTAATGACTATAAACAGATAATGCTTACTGCTCATTTTTTTAAATGCTAGAAAACCTACAAATATATTAATTTTCAATATTTTTTTTCTCGAGTTGTATTTGTTTCCGTATAAAAAGATTTCGTGTACATGTTCCAAAAATCTCAGCTCGCTACTCAACCACAACTAATGGAAAGCTGAGCCTTTTTTTATATAATAATATGGTGGTATAGTTATCTCTCACCTTAAGTGGCACTACGATAGTAGACTCCAAGGCAGTTTTCACACGGGCCTCCTCCGGCAACGCCAAAACTGCGTCATTTTCGATGATTGGTGCTTCTTTTTTGCTTGTTGGATCAGAAGACACGTAACGATTATTAGATACTGAAAGCACTGGCAACGACCTAGAGGAAAGAATATTGCTTAATATATTGCTGTACTCAAATTATCAAAGTATTTGTACAATCATTAGTGACAAAATCATCATACCGGGATAACCCAGACTTGGATAACGTCGCCACACGGCCTATAGCTTGTAACATTTTACTTAAAACGATTTGTAACCAATATTAGCAAATTACGCTTGGAAATAAAATTGATTACACAACTACAAGCACTTTTTCAGGTTTTCTCTGTGAATCAAAATCTGGGACTAAGATTTTGACAGTGACACTCTTTTTTTAATTTATTCTGGCCGTGGATACTTTGTTCTTTAGCCGAAACAGAGACACTGGGGATCAGTGTTGCCAGGTCCGATTTAAGTAAATCGGGAGGCGTGATAGAAAAAAGCAATATGAAAGAGCTACAAGAAAAACAGTAGATGCAGAGGCGTACTTTTTTCGATGTGTTTCTGTGGCTTCTGCCATCCCTCAAAGCTCGTTCCAATAACTTATATTTATTTTATTATGATTAAGGTTACCAAAATATTTAATGGCGGAAAACGTAACTCAACATGCAATTTAAAAACAGAAAATCGTATTCTAGGAAAGACAGTAGATTCATGTAAAAAACTAGAAGAGCAGCAAAAATTTTAGAAAAAAAAATGGTTGCCTGTAAAGTCGGTTTTACGGGCGAAGATTTTACGTGACAACGTCTTTTTCTCGGTAGAATATTTATTGATATGAATATAATTAAATTGCACAATAGGAACAAGGAATTGAATGAAAATAAGAATTGCACAAATTTTAACTATAGAAATATATTTTGTTTACTAAAACATTGTACATGTAAACTTAAACTTAACACGAGAGACTCATCGTAACGTTACCGAGCGTTACACTTTTTCATAAGTGACTCCCAGCCGCAACCTAATTTAAGACGTTGTCACGTCAAAACAGGAGATCTCCTGTAAAATCGAAAAACCTGGCAACCCTGCTAGGGATGTCATAAAATAATCAAATATTGGTGTCAATTCTGGCATGATTCTCTAAAGCTAAACTTAAATTTGACAACAGTGTATCTCTGTCATTCTCTATACATACTGAAAATTACAGACTAATGTCAAATTTAGTTTTAAGTTTAGAGAATCCTGCCAGAATCGACACCATTGTAAACAGCGATTTATACAAAAATATTATAAGATTTTTTTAAACATTCAACAAAACACATACTTACGCAAAACTTTGTTACCAAAACATATTTCTCTACACACCGTCTACTGCTCACGTGACTATCATACACAAAATACATAGGGCGGGATTCTCAACAGATCCAGATGCAACGTATGTTACAAAATGAATTTTTCAAAAGTTTTATACATTTTATGTCAAGATTGAAACGTCAGAGTGAAAAGATGCCTTTAAAGCAAAGATTTGGAACGCGCCCCTGCTATCGAGTTACCGAAAAAATGGCCCATGGAACACGAACAATACCCTGACCCTCGAGGCCCTCGACTATAGGTGCGAAGTAGCGATGGGCGTTGAATTAACGAACGGTTTATATAGACGGTCTACGTTCAATCGACGCTTCGACGGTCTACAGTTTATTCGTTAACTAGTTGAATTCATAGACGGCTAAACTGAGAGTCCACAGCGTTCATATCAACTGACAACGCGACGTCGACGCGTAAACTAGAGATGTAACGACTCGACTTTTCAAACCGGTTCAAACCGGTTTGAGCATGAACCGAGTTGAATCGGTTAACGTCTTCGTAAACCGGTTCTACCGTGGCATTCGTTCGTATCGCGCTGCCCGTATGCGCTCCTGACAATTCTTGTTTACGCCGCCATCCACAAATCGCGTGCGGCTCCTGACGTGCTTTACCGACCCTAATAAAACTTGACCGACTTACAGCAGCGGATACGGTTAGCGCGCATCGTCAATCGTTAAATACAACAGCCATAACCGACTTACCGATCAAACCGATATGAAACGGACTCTGGTAGATTTGACTGACTTGACGGTGTAATTTTGTTTTCATTGTACGGTGTAATTATGTAATATGCGACGTTATTGCCCAGCTTCTAAAAAAGTAGACCAAATATTATTCTTAAATAGTTGTAAGAAAACTTTTTAATTAAGTTGTTTGTACCAAGTTAAGTTTCTACGACTCAAATGATTTTACAAAAATAAGTTACGTATTTATTATATTGTTGATTATTAAAATTATATTTTATTCTCAAAGTTAAGAAGTACGGTTTTATGTAATTAATAGAGTTTATATATTTTTTTGTATTTTTTTAAACACGGTATTACATAGATATTTGTTTTTTTTATTTTGACATTTTTAATTCTGATTATTATTATTTGTTTTCATATTTTAATTAATATTTTTCAGTTACCTTTAAATATCTGCACGTTGTAATATCAATAAAATATGTAGAATTAAAAAAAATTAACACCTGTTGTTTCGTAAGTTTCATTCGTCAACTCGTCAAACGGTTCAAACCGGTTCAAACCGCGGTTTACTGAAAATTTGGCGGTTCGGTTCGGAAACCGATTTGCATGTATTACTAACCGATCAAATCCGGTTGGTCAAAATTCAAGACCGTAACATCACTAGCGTAAACGTATCTGGTTTACCGGTTACAAGTCCATACGTTCGTTCGTTCGTTGAAATAAAGCAATTTGAAACGTAAGCATATGGAGTGGGAGTTGATATTTGTTCATTTTTTAAACTAGAGTTGTTAGAGTGAAAAGGCAAGAGTATTCTGATATTGCGTGAAAGAGTACGTCGATGGATCTGGCTAAACGATGCAGTGCAGGATGAACGGGTTTATAATAATTGTTATCCTCAAGTAGTTGCAGTTTTGTTTATTGAAATTTGAAATGAGTGTGTCGCGAGGTCAAGGTCAAGGGACACGTGAATGCGAATTTAGTGCAAAGTTTGTTTGAATTGAATGATTATTTTATGAGTTTAATTTGTAATTTATTTTATAAACATTTAAATGACTATAAAATAAAGTCCCCGTCGTCGTCGTTGCGTCGCGTCCATAGACCAGTTACCGCGTAGTTGATATGAACCCCTCAACGCTTGCCGTTATCACGTCAACTAGTTGAAGAATTGAACTAGTTGATCGACTGGTCGATGGACGGTAGTGGACGGTTTAGTTTCGTCGATGAAAAATACGTCGACGACCCACCTCCAGTGCGAAGCCGGTTATTAACGATTTTAAACCAAGCGGTTAAAAATGAATTTTTCATTATTAACGGTTAATTAACCGTATTTTATGCTTGTTACGGTTAAATACCATCTTTAAATGCCGCAAGCGGTTTGAAATGTATATCGCGAGTTGCACGATGATGCCAGCTTGTAGACTGGCGGCACGGGGGCACCACAGTGGTCCGATTTTTTAAATTAATGGACTTAGGATCAAAGTTGGAAATTTCAGCCATCAAAAATTTGTAATTGATTGTAAACTAATTGCTGATTAATATTGTTTCATAGAATTTTTCATGAAAATGACTCCTTTATACTTTAAGAAATTATTTACGAAAAAAATGAATGGGATAAAATCTATTTTTTTTTTTTGGTAGGTTAGCAAAAGGTAGCAGTCAAACCTAATATAGTGGTGAGGGACTATTGACCTTGACTCGACCACACCAAAATTTTGTGCGTATCCTTGCCTTGCGGCCTCGGGGCCAACAAAATTTTAAAGTTGTTTATTTTCATACCTGTTCTTTCTCTACTTATTTTACGCGTTTTCAATTAAAAATAATTAAGAATGTTTAAGTTGATTGGTAGAGAGTGACAATAAACATTAAGTGCGCCTAATCTAGGTACACTGTGCATTGTGTGCGTGTGCAATAAATAATGAATACAGTAATAATAATAACAAAGATCAAGCGGCTTATGATAAACTTACTTACATAATTTGTTTAATCCCTCAACACCATATGAGGTTTGACTGCTACCTTTTGCTAACCCATCAAGAAAAAAATTAAAATAGGTTTTCTCCCATACATTATTTTCGTAAATATTTTTTTAAAGTATGAAGATGTCTTTTCATGAAAAATAGCGATGTCGATTCTGACATGATTCTCTAAAGCTAAACTTAAATTTGACAACAGTGCATCCTTGTCCTTCTCTATACAGAATGAAAGGGTGAGACTGACCTTAAAAATAGTTTTAAGTTTAGAGAATCACGCCAGAATTGTCACCAGTATGAAACAAAATTAAACATCATTTAATTTACTATCAATCATAAAAAATTTAAAGCTGAAATTTGTAACTTTGATCCTAAGTCCACTATTTTAAAAATTCGAACCACTGTGCGACATTCTAATGAAAAAGAAAGAAGATAAATATAACTAAAGACTAGGCTGTATAAGCATTGTTTCCTTTGCCTTCCCAAAAAAGGGAAAATCTTTTAGAAAAAAAGAATGTGACATTGACGTTTGTTGATAGAAATTTGTGGAAGTGGAAGGAATTTGAATGAAAGTACAAGTCGAAAATTATTTTTTCTGCAGAATTTATGTAATTGAAATAAAATATTAATTTTATGAAATCAAAGACTCGCAAATTAAAACCTTATTTTGCCAGGTGAATTATGGTAACCTATACAGTGTCAGGAAAGAATTTGAACAGAGCAGCTGTTTTCTCGTAAAGGTAATTCAAATTTCTTGTTATTATGACTATTATAGAGAAAACTGGATTAATAGGAAAATGTGCTTTAAAATATTAATAATATGCCAGCAACAGATTATTTAGGTGAATTTTCGATGCCGGTGTCATCTTAATTATTATCAAATAACCTTGAAAAAAAGTTTGTTATTGATATTCAAATTTTTTGGAGCATGAATTCTATATAAATACTAGCTGACCCAGCGAACTTCGTACCGCCATAAAAAAATAGGGGTTGGTGGTAGAAAGTTGAAAATTTAGAGATGTATGTATTTTTGTATGATGTATCATAAGAAAATAAAAAAGAAAATATCTAAAATTGAAAAAAAAAAATTTAGGGGTGGATTACCCTTAACATTTAGGGGGATGAAAAATAGATGTCCGATTCTCAGACCTACCCAATATGCACACAAAATTTCATGAGAATCAGGAAAGCCGTTTCGGAGGAGTTTAACCACAAACACTGCGACACGAGATTTTTATATATTAGATTTGAAACCCCTTAAATATTAGTATTATAATAATACAATGTATTTTAATCTACCTGCCCTTTTCTGTTGATTTCATATATTTATGGATTTTGAAAGAAATATTGTAAGCTTTAGCGCAGGACTGCGCATTGTGGCGTTCTATGGGGGAGGCCTATGTCCTGCAGTGGACGGAAAAAGGCTGATGGATGGATGGATTGTAAGCTTTGATCAGATTGTGTGGTTTTTCGTATAATTTTGCAAGCTTTGCATAAGTTAATATAAAAATCTAGATAGTTTTTCTTTATATTAATAATAAAGTAAATTATGGAATGGATTAGGTATTTATTTTCAAAATATGATCATATTATCCACTTAGGTGTGTAAGGTTTTATAGTATCCTTTTTATCCTAAAAATATCCTTTTAATTTATTGAGAGACCCATACATATAATCAGAATAGAATCCCAGTAAAATTAACAAATTTTATTGTATGATTAAAAATGTTGTTCAACTCAATTGGTTTGTTAATATTGTGATTTACACATACCTAAAATATCTCCATATGAAGTGTTCTATTTTACAAAATAGTAATTTTAAATAATATGAACAAGGAAATTTTATTTCATGTTGTGGTTTTTGGAAACTCATGTATATAAACTTTGATAACACAAGTACTATGAAAAAACTCTATTTATTTTGATCTATTTTTTTTAAAATAAACTATATAGCTTAATTTATTGATAAGCACATTCCATTTGATGAATAAATTGACAATAAAAAATATATTATTTCTTATTTTTTTGCAGATTGCTATCACTATACCAATGACTTGTTAAATAAAGTGTACAGCCGCCCCCTTGCGGGGGCCGCAAAGCTATTGTACCTGAAAGAATACTATATTCTCAGTAGCTTAAGAAAATAAAGTTCAATTAGCCTAGAAAACAATATAGAATTTTAATTAGTTCAATCAATATAAATATTATCTTTTTAATATTGGAGTGCAGAAATACAGATAAAATGAGTAAGAATAAAGTGGAGGTTGACTGCACCCGCAGATGCAAGTCTCGAAGTCATGGCCAGGCTTTAACAAGTGCCATAACAAAGAGATCAATCACTGACCAGTCTCTTGTCAGTTTTATAAAATCAACATGTGCCAACTTTGTCAAAGCCTTTGATTTTGAGGTAAGAATGATTTTTTTTAATATATATATATATAGCTATACTTTCTAAGATTACAGAATAATACAATCGTCTTCAGTGATCTTCCAAAATCTATACAGAGTTTGTGACTAATATCACTTTGAAAATGTAAAAAGTTTGAGGAAGATAATATTTTGTTTTAAATAAAATTGAAGCATAATAAAATGAACTAAAGTGGTATTCTTATAATAATTTTATCCATTTGTTTTTATTATTATTGTTGTAATACTGGTTAGTTATTTTTTAATGTCATATTGTAATCTACATGCGTGCGTGTGTTTCTATGTACTTAAATTTATTCTAGGTACTTATTTCTACTTTAATTTTAGGGCCGTACAGCATTGCATATGGCGGCATCGCGTGGGAGATTGCAGTTAATGGACTGGCTCGTACGACACTCACCCGAGGCCTTTGCCAATGCCAGAGATCGTGAATCAGGCTACGCACCATTACACAGAAGCATATTTTATGGACAAATTAATGCAGCTGTGGCATTGATGAAAATGGGTACCTACCTCCTTGTAAACTTATATTTTACTATTTATTTTTTATATTGCGTCATCAGCACAGTCAATACCAGAAGCAGCTTTATATTTGAAAATAAAGCTGCGTATTGGCTGCGCGGCTGCCACGTGATCTATGTTTGACCACGGTAAGCCTATTATTTTGATTCGTGAACCAATTTTGTTTTCATCTTTGACTATACTGCAGCAGCCGTGCGTAGCAGCCGGTCCGTCCATCCGTCCGTCCGTCCACGATAGACCAGGTGGCTTACCGCCACGATTGCTTTGGCTTTTGTAATAGTTTATCACTTAATTTTTTTCTGACCGCCGAAGGTTTTTCAAATACTTTGCGCTTATTTTCTTATATTTTTATTAGCAATGCAAAAAGAGCGTGAGGTATTTAAGAACCATGGGCTGGTAGAAATAACAAAATAAAACCTTCATGAGCATGAGCAAATAACAATAAGTTCTCTGATATTCGGATGCTTTGAAACTCTGTTAGATTAGGGGGCTCCCATATATGTCCCCACTACTGGGGCACAGGCTTTCGTCAATGAATGGAATAGAGGTTGGGCCATAACCCACCCAGCACGGCAAATGCAGCCGGAATCAAGCTTAACGTGCCTTCCGAAGCTCGGAGGGGATCAATGTAATAAATTGGTCATCTATTCTATGACAGTGCTGGATTGTGGAAGTTGCTTACTTTCCACGATCGCAGAATTTTGGACAGCTGCATAACGTATCGCATCGTCATACAGGCGCCCTATATCGAGGCTTACCGAGACCTAGGCCCAATTGGTATACTACTAAATTGGCATAATCTATGATATTGCTACAGGGGCAAACACTGATATTTTGGATAAGGACGACTACAAAGCTTTGGAGCATGCAATGCTTGACCGTCACTATATGTACAAACTGGATGAGATAGACCCCAGAGAGGTGTATGTTTGGGGAAGCAACTCCAACTACACACTGGGCACAGGCACTCAGCAACAACGCAACACTCCAGAACTACTTGGATCGTTCAGCAGAAATAATACCTGCGTTAAACAGGTGAGAATTTAGTAATTTATAGAAAGGGGATGGGATTTTTCGATTTACTCGAGCGCGGCGGATTAACATAAGGGCGGCAACTTTGGGCCTTGTGAAATACTCCTACCATACCTGAGCTCTCTATTCAGGACTGAAGGTTTAATGCAGATTTTTTTTTTTTTAACAAATGGTCATGATTTTTGGTCGCGTCCAAATTGTCAGTTTTTCAATAGAAGCGCTTGGGATTCCCTACCATTACGGTGTTATGTACATTAATTACCCCCTTGAATTATTTTACAAAAAACTGCAGTCAAACAACAAGGATGCTTAAGCTCTACGGGATAGATAAACAGACTACTATGGCTTGCTTTGATTATACACGCCTAGATAGCGTATTAACGATACGGAAGCGCCCGAAAAAATATCTACCTCATCGTCGCTGCACACGCACACACTGACTGCTGTCAAACAATCTGACATTAGAGTCACGCACTCGTTGCGCGTAACATCCGTTTTCTTTGCGTGGTTTATATGGATTGCTCTATCTAGGCGTGTGATGGCTAGATTGTACTTATGGCTTGCTCTCTGCAAACCCGAAAGCCTATTACTTACTTACTACCGACTTGTGACCGGCGATTATTTTAAAATAATCTCAATAATATAAATTCGTGTTAGCTAATAAGTGTCAGCTAGTAAGAGATTAGTGTGGTCTCTGTAATTTTTAAGAAGTATTTATGTGAATCGTAATACATAAACCAACTGACGCCAGTGCCGTGGCTAGAATTTTTTAGAAATTGAAATGTCATACAAACAAACTTACGGCTACCGCCGAAAGTTTGGATTGCTAAGCAATTACTGTATCTGATCGTAATGGCATTTTGGATTGAAGTTAATCTCATCATCATATTGCCGCAAAACATAGTCTTATTCTGATCATGAGATGATGAGAATCATATTTCTCATATGATTGGTCTCGCTTCACTCCACTAGATACCGCGCTATCAAAAAACAACAGCTCCGGTTATGGGGCAACTCATTATTGTAGTGTGTGTATGTCACTGTGCAAGGAAGGTGTCATATGTCAAAAAAAATGTAGCCAGCTGCTCAACTGCTACCCCAGTAATAGGGAAAATATTTTATGCTGTTGTCGATCCACACTAACAATACCAATTACAAAATCCGTACATATTAAATGAATATATATCATTTTTAGTATTTTTTTTTTGCAAATATACGTGATGCACGGAGGCACCTATAATTTTATCACGCTTGCATAGTTAGTTTCTTTATTTTTATCCCACCTGTCAATAGTTTGGTTACAAATTCTTATAAGTGCCGCCGTAGTCTGAGTGATATGTACGCCAGTTTTGATGGTGTCGGCCTTCATATTTGTATAAACTATTCCACTACTAGTCGAATTAAATTAATCTGATGTTAACATGACTTGAGTCGAAATCAAAATATCTTTTAGAACCCGTCCCGATGAATTTTTTCATGACATCAATTACATTTTTTTTATATATTAAATTTGATTTTATGTGCGACACTTTATCTATATTTTGTATTATAGATTCTGAAACCAAGCATATTAAAAATACATTCAGAGGCATATGATAATCCACCTCTATCTTTTAATATCACAAATTTATGAAACCAACAATGATTTTTAGCAGTTAAATTATCAATACAATGACAGCATTTCAATTTTTTTGTTAAGAACTTGACAACAAAACCGGCTACGTATCCAACAACGTGGTTTTTAAAATTCTACATGTATGGCACCTCCAAGAATTCTGTGATCTCGTCAAAATCATCCTTAACTTTTTCTAGTGCATTTAATAATACTGAATCTTCTTCTTCGAAACGTTCCCACATGAAAATGAAATTTATTGGATATTTCGAGAAAAACTAAATAATTTGCAAGATAAACAAGGCCTCCATTTAGCTAATAAAATAACGAAACGTCATTTAGAATTTCGCAATAATATAATGAAGGTAAAGTTTGCTTCAAGTTATTAAGTTTCCTTTATTATTACCCGCACCATAAGCTATCCCTGAGGCCCAAGCACGAGTTTTTGACAGCTGCTTAACGCTAACGTATCGCATCGTCAAAGTTTCTATGAAAAAAACTAAGCAGCGCCACTGACACCACGTATAAACTAGCTTTTTCCATACAAAATTTGACCATAACGATACTTTACGAAGCTGTCAAAAACTCGTACTTGGGCCTCTGTGCTCAATTTCATTCAATTAATTTCAACATTTTTTCCAAAATTGTGATGTTTTCTTAACCCCGATTTATTTTCAAATATTTTCGATTCACTAACACGAATAGTTTGTATTTCATAAAGAGGTCAAATGAAATGGGTCATAGAACAGTATATTCATATTATAAAAATCTCAACCATAGGGACTTTTATATTGCGTACTTGGCAACACTAAATGACACACTAATTTTCATGAAATTTTACATCGAAATTTCGAAATTATAAGATACTTACTGATGGTATGTGATCCCAGTGTCCTTTTTATTTTTTGAACTATTATTCTTACAACGTTTTACAACATAAACTGACATTTTGCTGCGGATTGTGCTGTAAATTGATTAAAATATGCGGGACTAACACCTAAAGCGCAGCTATCAATGTGACTGACACGGCGAAGGCTCGGGTCTGCCGATTTCGGCATAGTATTTGTTGCCCCATTAAACAAGTACGCCGGCGGTATCTAGTTGAGTGAAGCGAGACCAATCATTCATCTATGGTCTTATTATGATTTTTACTAAACTTATTATTCACAATTTTTGGAATGATCAATTTAATTCAGCTTTATAAAAATTCTAAATGAGGATTCAAACAGTTGCTTATTTACAAGTTTTCAAGTCAACTAACCTTTTCGAAACCATTGGCAGCTGATAGAAATTGCCCTGTCATGTCAAAGTAATGAAAATCAAACGTCAGTCACTACATGCATATCATGATAATAAATATGGTTTATCGAAATAATATTTGAAGAAACGTCTTATAAATGCACACCGTTGGCTTGCCTCGCACCTGTTTAGGCTTCACGAACATTCTGTTTTTTGTGTTTGGTTTCATTGGTTTTGGTGTTTGCCTATGGTGCGCTGTGAACACTCAGTTCTTCGAAGATGTCAACTACACGATCACGAAAAGCTCAATGGTCAGCGACATAGCGGAATTCGTGAACCTCAAACTTTGGTACACTCCGATGACGACGATTCTAATGATTTTAGCGATATTGACGATGATGACGTCATGCTGTGGCATTCTTTCGGCCGGGTGTCAACTGAAATGCGCTGTGAAATCCTACATATTCCTCGTCACAATCATATCATCAGTAGCATTTTGGGTGTTCTTCATATCAGGCACTTACAACATTTACACGAAGAACGAAAATACTAGAAGTTATTTCGAAAAGACCATAAAATACAACTACGGAATGGAGAATGACGTGATAACATACTTCTGGAATTATCTCATGATGGAATACGAATGCTGTGGCGCGAACAGCTATAAAGACTTCGCCGATTCCAATTGGCAAAAGAAGAGCAATAAGTTGTATCCCGTTCAATGTTGTAAACTGGAGAACAGGACAGCGCTCACTCCCATTTCGAAAGAATGCACTCAAAGTGTAGATCCTTCGATACAAACTAATGCTGAAATTGGCTGTTTTGACCTCCTCAGTAAAGCCATAGCATCTAATAAAGGGAAGCTGATATTTTACGTCGTACTGTCAGTTGTGTCGTATTTAGTTTTGATTCTGTTCGCTTATTGCGTCATTCGGGGCGAACCGCTTTTGGGAGCTTTGGCGGGTAGTTGGGAATTGCCGGCATCTAAAGCTGAGAATCCACATACTGAGCCAGTACCTGTGAGATCATACGCACAGAACATATCCTATACAGAGGAGCCGCCGAAGAAAGTTGTGAGAGTGATATCAGCAGTGAATCCCTTCCAAACTTATAAGTTTACACCGAACGCTTACGGTGGTGATGTATACTGACATCCTACTTTGTGTTCATAAATAAATGTTTTAAATAAAAGTCATTTAATGCGTTTTATTGACGTTTAAATTTTAATCTTATTTGTAGGTAAATTAAATAAAAACGTTGATATTGATATGAACTTAATATAAATTTGACACATGACACACATTTCTATCGATACAAATAATATCCATCTAACTAGCTTATAGTAAACGGGTGCGACAAAAAGGAAATAAGTTCATAAAATATTATAGGTACATAGTAGAATTAGGTCGGTGCGTTTTCATTTTGATAAGCACACGGCGAAAAATCGAAGACCCAATAATCGTATCGTCATCGTCTAATTTTGTATGGAAGGAGCAAGTATCCCAAGTTTGATCTTACGTCCGCTAGAGGCGCTGCTTAATTTTTATAGAAACTTTGACGATGCGGTACGATTGCGAAGCTGTCAATCATGATTGGGCCGTTGTACAGAAATGAAAACGCACCAACCATGTCAGGCAAGCAGCTGAGATACTATGTTGTGACTTTATCACTAATTTATTTTTCCTAGCATCCCATTAAGTACGGTGCGATTCAAACTTAATCACTTCAGCGAAGTTAGTTGAAGTCGCGGCGCAGTAAACGAAATGTGAGGTGATGTATGTGCGCACGAGGTTTCACCGAACTGACACTTGCGCATACTTATGCTATTTGTGCTCAATAACTTTACAGCACAATGACTATAAATTTTGAATCACACTTTATTGTGATCAATTGATATATAAGTATTGATGGAACTGTAGAACAATTATGATATTTAATCTTAATGTGAGGAGCTCGATGGCGCAAGTGGTAAGCGCGTTCGGCTGCGATCGTTGAAGTAAATCAACTTTCGTAGTGGTTGGTCATTGGATGGGTGACCAAAAATTTACTATCTCGAGCTCCTCCGTGCTTCGGAAGGCACGTTAAGCCGTTGGTCCCGGTTGCAGCTGCAGTCGTTAGCACCCACCAATCCGCACTGGACCCGCGTGGTGGGTATGGCCCAAAACGCCCTATCCCATTCGTAGGGAAGGCCTGTGCCCCAGCAGTCGGGACATTAATAGTCTGATGATGATGATGTGTTTGTTCACAAACAGGTTTGCCTAGGAAAGTTCCACAGCGTGTGGGTGTGCTCGGGGTCATCGCAGGGCGAAGTGTGGTGTTGCGGTCAGGTGTCACGGGCGGGCGGACCTAACGCCACCTGTCTGGCTCCTGCTCAACTTCGCCTGCCAGAGCCCTGCGTCCAGGCCGCGCTGATGCTCAACGCTACCGTCTTCCTACTGGAAAGCGGCACGGTAAGCCTATTGTTTTAAACCTTCACTGTCACTAACATTATAGTAATTTACAGTACAAGCTCCTTATTCACGCTACCTGTATTCGCGGCTAAAAATTTCGTTATTCGCGGATCTAATCAAAATATGAATAATTTGGTAACCTTTGTTAACGCGTCGGCAGATGGAGTAAATATAAAGTAGACTTTATTTTAACTCAGTCTACGGTATGTTGTCAAATGCTGTCGCCGGTGCATAAGATGCTTTCGCTTTTTCTTTTGATACGCTGTTTGAGAATGTAAACAAACAGAATAAGTTTATGTAAAACAATACTATTACTGTATGCCTAAAGTATATGTTAAATATGTTAGTATCATATCATATGATGATGTCAAATATGTATTAGTTAGACGTTCCGCCGTGTCCTTTGGTAAGAGCCGGTTTGTGTGATTTATTCACCCCTCTTTTCATTCATTACAAAAAATGTGATTGAGTAACACGTCTATTCCGCTGTGCTCCTAAATTATAATTTCGAAAAAGAAAAAAATATTTTAAAGTAACAGTTCTTTAAACCCTTGCCTAAGCCTGACAATAATAATTAACTTCAATTAAATTGATTAATTACAAATATTGTTTTTTGCCGCCTTGGAACGTATCCCTTATAATTTCATATAAATTACCACTCCTCACGCATTCTGTATTTGCGTCATTTTTCTTCAACGCGAAGCATACCCTGAGAATAAGGAGTTTTTACTGTACATATTGCTACCATGTACATACTGTACCTTTTTTTGAGAGAGATACGGTGATACCATGATCACAGTGTTTGAAGTAATTGCTGGTAGGACGGTACTGGTAAACATATCGGTCTACCCTCCAACGAAGTCTTTATTGCGTTCGATACCTGTACCACTGTTCACATACTCAAAACTGTTCTCGAAACACAACACTATCGGATGCCAGAGCCCTGCGTCCAGGCCGCGCTGATGCTCAACGCTACCGTCTTTTTATTGGAGAGCGGCACGGTAAGAACTGCTTAGGAGTGTTCAACAGTATCGGTGAAGTGTGGCCTTGTGGGCAGGTGTCGCCATCTGTCTGGCGCCCGCGTAACTCCGCATGCCCAAGCCGCATTGATGCTCAACGCTCCCGTCTTTTTAAGGCACGGTAAGGTAACGGTTCCACAGCATGTGTGTGACCTGGCTAGGTATGTTCCAAAGCGTGGTATTGCGGGCAGGTGTCACGTGCGGGCAACTCTGCGTGGTGGGTCATGGCCCAATACCTATTCCTGTTGATTGGTGTGTGTTGAAAAATAAATATTTAATTATTTATTCCATCCATACGGGGGGGGGGGGGGGGGGGGTGCACCAGCAAGTGAGACATAAACAGGCTGATGATATGGTCACCTACCATGTGAATTTTTTTGACACTATGTCCATAGACATTTCGCGCCGCGCTTATTCAACGTTCTACACTTTTGTCTTTCTGCAAAAGAGTGGCACGAAAATTGAATGTTACTAACATCATCTACATCATCATAACTTGCTGGCCAACCCTCGAACCCAATCCAGTGGAGCTATGAAATCTCACTCCCCAACAGAAACTGTGGTCCTTAGTAAGTGAGAAGTTTCAGCAAGAAAGCTGCAAATCCCTACGTCTTTTAATACCACCACCAGTGAATATTTACATAATTATATTCAATGATGATGAATATATTATTATTATAATTAATTATATTAATATATATTCATCATCATTGAATATAATTATATAATTATGTAAATAATCACTGATATGTTTACCAAGACAATATAAATTGTGGGTTACCTACAATGCCAAGAGATGGCGCTGCCTTGCAGCCTAAGGCTAGAGAAAATTCCATACAGCCATCAGGGCCGCGGTAGCATAATGATCAATGCATTCGCCCGAATAGCGAAGGGTGCAGGTTCGAGTGCCGTCTGCTGCCTGGTCCGCGTGTTTTTTTTCTACTATGCTTTTTATTTAAATATATACATTTTATTGGTACTTAATGGGTTTTTGTTCCCAACATCCTCGACCAATTTTCAGTAATAAACTAAAACATTAGACTTGATACTGCCATGATTTTCTATACCTAAAACTAAAATTGGCAATAGTGTCCTTATGCCTATAGTGAACGAAAAGGAGAGACTTTTGTTTAGTTTAAGGTTTTGAGAAACGTGCCAAAATTAGGCCCATCATATTGTATTGTATGACTAAGGTCCACTTGCAGCAATTTTGCTAAATTTGAATTTAACTAAGACTAGATATAGCCCATAAAATAATGTCAAATTTAAATTGTCGTTTTGTCATTTTTCTATAGGTAATGCCTCGTTTTAGTTGAATCGAGATTTTGCAAAATTGCTACAAGTGAGCCTTGGGATTCAAAACAAATGAATTTAAATGATACAATATAATTAATGAATATCATGTTTACAAACCAATTTTTGTAATATGTGTTATTTCAGAGTTGTAATAAAAGAAATGCGATTATGAAAAATCTATCTTTATTTTCTCAACACTTAAAAGTACCACTTAATAGCTGCGAACTTAACTGTTAGTGAGAAGTCATAATTATCACAACAAATTTATTATAAATTAAGAAGTAACTAAAACGAGATAATTTAAAAGAAAATATAACTATTATTAGAAATAAATTAAATAGACTTGAAAATAATAACAGAAAAAGAAGAAGCGTTTCTAGGCTAGTGCCAACTTATAAATTGAAAAAAAAAAACTGAAATCGCCACACTAACCTCATTAGTTTCATTTTGCTTCTTCCGAGTTAATATTTTGAAGTATTGTTTTTCACATGTATATAGGTATCTCGCGTTTTGTGTCTCTCGTATCAATGAAAAGATTAAGTACAAAATATCAAGTTTATTAAAAATATCCTCATAATCTTACTTTATATTAGGAATTTTACAAAATAATTGCATTAAAATCGGCCATAAACTTAATCTATTGGTCAAAATTCGAAGGCTTGCATGGCCCCAAGAATCTTAAATTAAGTTTTATTATTAAAACTTAACCTACGTCTCAATTGCACTAAAGTTCTTAAATTAAAATCTAAATCATGTTCAAAACTAAAGTCCGCTACGCACTATCCATCATGCTGGGTCTGGCATGCAGAACAGCACTATACACGTAAAAAAGAACCAGTACCTCCATCTCTTTTACGTGTATAGCGCTGTCCTGCTCCCGCATGCTGGATACAGCAAAATAGAGTAGCATCGTAGATTTTATAAAATCCATAAAGATGGCGTAACGCGTAATGTTTCAAATATTAATAAATTTAATGCAATTTATAAACGTCGGTGCAAGTGGCTGGCCTATGGAAAAACACAGACGTTATACTAGGCGTAAGGTTTTTGTATTGTAATTTACGATTTTGTTTGAATCTAGTCACACATAAATAAGTAGGCGGATCGATATTACACAAACCAGGGGTATTACGGATCGAATATCCGCATTTGCAAATGCGGAATATTCCCATCCCAATTCAGGCATCTGTATCCGCATCTGCATCAATTTTTGAAATGATGCGGATTCATATCAACAAGTAACGACATCTTAAGAAAGTGGGTGGAGCCAGAGTTGCACGTGCTTAAAATTTCAATCTAGATATAGCCCAAACAATGATGTTAAATTCACATTGACGATTTGTCATTTTTCTATGGAATAGATCTAGTTTTGGTTGAATCGAGATTAAGCAAATTTGCTGCAAGTGGGCCTTAGTCGAAGCACATGAGTAAAAAGACGTACAGAGACAAAGCTTCATACAACGGCGCTGCGATCGTTTCACTCGAGCAAGACGCTCGTGTGTGAGTGACTACTGGCTGCCTATCACGAACGCAGTCACACGGTGCAGGGGGCCAATCGCCTAACGGAAATGCTTTGGAAAACGCTAACGCTTACGATTTTATTTTGTTATTTCTAGCCGCCGTATTCAAATGCCCCGCGCTCTTTCTTTTTCTTTTGCATTGGTAATAACAATATTAAAAAAAATGAGCGTGAGGTATTCGAAAACCTCAAGCGGCTAGAAATAACAATATAAAATCGTAAGCGTTAGCGTTTCCCAAAGCATTTCCGTTAGGCGATTGGCCCCCAGGGCTCGCGGAAAACTCGCGTCGTATTTGTTTTCGTTTCACGTTTTGAAATAATAGTATTTAAAAAGAATAGATCAATATGTTTACTGTACTCTGCATTTATGAATAATAATATAATAATAATAAATAAAGTAAAAATCTTTTTGGGATTTTCTTTTCTTTAGATTTAAACATCACACTGTCGTCGCAAGTGGGCAATATAGAATTATTATCTTAAATACAATATCACACAAGCCTTATAATTGCGCCAAGTTACAAAAAAAACAAATAAAATTATAAATCAAGAAATAGAAGAAAAGAATCAAGTGAAAAGCATCTATTATTGCACAAGGACTTATACACTAGCCCACCATGCATGATGGTGGCCATGCATGACCACCGAAACGGGATATGATAAAGCGATTTATCGGCATTAACTGTCAGACTAATGTCAAACTCTACTGTAGTCTGACAGTTAATGCCGATATATTTACGAGTGTCTGTTGATACTTCAGTTCAGCATCAGTTTGGAAGAGGATAATAGAGTAGCGATTATTATAACAGAATATTGTAAAATTAAGTATAATAATGTCCTGGCATAAATGAATACTGGAAAATATGGCAAAAGTTTATTTATTTTATCCTTTGCCTGATCGCCTTACCTCATTTTATACAATGCTTAGACATTTAGTCTGATTCTATAAACTCAAACTAAATTTGACAGAAATATATCCTTTTCATCGTCTATACAGTGTGTCAAGGATATACTGCTGTCAAGTTTTGTATGTATTAGGTTTGGAGAATAAAGTCTCCCGCCCATAGGCGCGCTATTATCATCTATACAAATGGATGTGTTATTGCGATATATCGTCATACTTCTATTGCCTCGTTACTATTGCAGCGGTGTGTAACTTCGTAGCT